TAATAATAATAATAATAATAATAATAATAATAATAATAATAATAATAATAGAACAGCAAGCACTCTAACTGCTAAGCCATCTCTCCAGTCCCTAACTGGTTTCCTTAAAAAGAATTGCACAAAATTCTAAAATTAAGTAATGCACACATACACACAATAGCATTGCACATAGCCTGGTACAAAGTGAATTGAAAGGAGCAGATCTGCAAATCAGAGATTCACTAGAGGAAACACACTGGTACCCAGTGTTCAGAATACTCTGTTGGTAGTCATCCTATTGCTCCTGAGAGGTCACACTGGTAAACACTCAGCCATCAGGCCCTCTACTCCTACCTCTGATGGTGGGAGCAAACATTATCTCAAGGGGCATCAAAATAGACCGCACCTGGCCCCACACACCTTTTGAATCTCTTAGTATCCACACAGTCCTAAACATTTTATGTGGGATCTATGTTCAAGTTTCAACTACCAAAAAGTTGCCAAGATAACATGCAGTAAAATAATGAGAAAACAGATGAGCAAACGCAGATTGTTCACCTTTAACAATGCTAATGTGAAACGTATTTCAATATTTGCTTTTTGAGACAGGGTCTCATGCTCTGGCCTGAGCTCACTATGTAAGCCAGGCTGACCTTGAACTTGCCCCTACGTGCTGAGGTCACTGAAGTCACCAGCCGCAGCTCTTACACACTTCCTTTACTGACCGTTAGTTAAGCCCCCCATGCAGGAGCCGTGAGGAGCACTTACAGCTGCGGGTCGCGGCTCCTGTAAATCTTTCCATCCTGCTTGCTGAGGTACTGATCGATCTCATCTTCAACCACATTGGGAGCACCGAAGGCCTTTAGCCCTCCTGAGGTTGATGTCTCCATTTCAGCCGAGGGTCCAGCGAGGTTGGAGGGGAACAGGAACAGCAAGTCGCCATGTCTGTTCAAAGGACAGAGTATCACAACGCCATCCTCCCCTCCAAAACCACACCACAGTCTGCTGTGGACCCAACAGCTTCAAAAGACAGATGGTACCATTTAAAGGCCCACATTGGGAAGTTCCGCCTGTACGAGGAGAGAATTCTTTGTTCCGTGGCATTGTACACACTAGTACAGATTTTCTAAGCAATTCATTGTAAAAACTATGAAATACGCCTAGCAGTCTCACTGTGTGTGTCAACACCACTGTGCTCACCTGGGCCTCGGGGCAGCCCTTCCTGTTCCTGGTCTGTCTGCCTCTAACTCCTCACCTCGGTCAGCTCTCCACTCATAGCTATCTCTCTAGGTCACACGCTCAGGCCATGCTCACATCTCTGTCACACATGCACCAGGTAAATACCGGCTCACAAGCATTCAGACAGATTTAAAAGATATTTCACACCTTGCTCTTCGTATCTACAGGCCTCATTCAACAACTCCCCAGGATTAATCCTGACTGTCCTGGTTGGTTGGTGGGTTTTTTGTTTTTGTTGTTGTTTGACTTTTTTTTTGTCAGCTTGCCACGATCTAAAGTCATATAATAGGGTACCACAATTGAAAAAAAAAGTCTCAGTAATACTGGCTGTAGGCAAGCCTTGGGCATTTTCTTTGTTGTTGCTGGTGGTGTTTTTTTTTTTAAATCTGAAGCCAGGCATCTTTTTTTCTTTTTTTAATTTTATGTACACTGGTCCTTTGCCTGAATGTATGTCCAAATGCTGTCAGATCTCCTGAACAGGTGTTACAAACAGTTGTGAGCTGCCATGTTGGTGCTGGGAACTGCACCTGGGTCCTCTGGAAGAGCAGCCAGTGCTCTTAACCAATGAGCCATCTCCCCACGCCCCGTGGGCATTTTCTTAATTAGCAATTGATATGGAAGGGTGCAGCCCTTTGTTTGGTGGTACTAGCCCTGGCCAGGTGGTCCTGAGGTGTTTAAGAAGGCAAGCTGATCAAGCTCTAAAGGAAGAGCATTTCTCCATGGCTTCTCTTTAGTTCCTGCCTTGTTCTCCCTCAGTGGACTGCAACCCAGGAGAGAGAAGCCAAATAAGCCTTTTTTCCTCCCCAAGCTTCTTTTGGTTGTGGTGTTTTATCACAGCAATAAAAATCCTAACTAAGACAGTGACTTATTTAAAAACCAAACAAGCCGTGTCTCACTCTGTAGCCTAGGCTAGCCTCAAACTCAAAATCCCCCTGCCTCTACTTAGCACCTGAGTGCTAAGACTACAGGTGTGTGCTACCACATTTAGCTCACCACACTGGAGCACATCAGCTGGGTTCTGCCACTGTGAAGAATATACCCACAAGCAGATGCCAACACTGATTGGGCACTCTGATTGGGCAGATTTCAGGCACAGCCTCCTTCTGTTCCAAGACTGTGGAAGGTCTGCTTTCCAAAAGAAAGCTTGCTTGCTTTCTCCTTGCTGTGCTCTATCTGGACATGACCTGCAGCTTCCTCTCTGAAGCTATTCACACAACCATTGTGAGTCATGCCTGACCAGAGGTGGCTGTGGCACTAAAGCAACTCCAGCCTTTGAAGATGGGAGGTGACAGAGCATTTAACAAGCTTTCAGCTGCCATCAACAGGATGCACAAGACAGAAGCTGAAAGAACAACTGGCTCAGTGCTGAACAGCAAGCCACAAGAAAAGCACTGTCTGCAAGTACAAACTGCAAGACACGCAGCCTCCCAGGAGCACGGCCAGCTGCCCTTGCCTCCTCAATCTTCTGTAATGCACAGGCAATAAACCTGCCAAACTGTAACCAGACTTCTGCTTCTAGCAGTGGATTAAATATTCCTAAACACCCTCTAGCTATAAAATACTTGGCTCAGACACTGGATCAATTCTAACAAATATACCATAAAAATACTGCTGAGCTCTAAAGGTAAAGAATACCCAGGGATCAAAAGCCAGCAGTAAAGCCAGTAAGAACAGAAGAGGACACAGCCGCTTTCCCTCGGCCAAGACCAGGATGAAGAACTTGAGGCTGAGAGACTGCAGTGTTCACTGGGCAACAGGAGACAAAGCCTTGAACTCTCTGCCCACATAAGACTGCTGAGCCTGAAACTCCCACAGAAACCCAAATGATCAGCCAGGCTTGTGGTGCACACCTGTAATCCCAGCACTTGGAAAGGTAAAAGCAAGAGGATCACAAATTCAAGGTCAGCCTTAGCTCAAGTTCAAGACCAGTTTGGATAACATAAGACTCTGTCCTTAAAAAAAAAAAAAAAAAAAAAAAAACAAGCAAACAAAAAGCCCCAAATGACAAAAGGAAGTCTGAACAACTGAGAGAATCCAGGAACTCAAAATGGGAACCAAGAAGAAATGGAGTCTGCTTTCCCCAGACACACTGCAGGGAAAGTCACCTCCAAGGTTCCAATCAGGCACCTGCATATAGAGTGGAACCTGGGCTGCTTTTGGGCTCTGGAGGACCAAAACCAGAAAGGAATGCAGCTCCACGGTACCCCCTTGTGCTGACATAAGTAAATGCCACTAACACCAATCCGAAGCAAAGACTGTCCTAGAAGCCATAGCTCCTCACACCTCCCCCAATAAAAACCAAAACTTACAACAGGAAATAAATCCACACAAGCAAGAGTAGCTAGAAACAAGCCTGAGAGAGACAGGCCTAGGGTTCAAATGCTGGACTTACAAGACAAACACAAATTCTGGAGAAAAACCTTCTAGGAAAAAGCTAAGAGCAGTACAGCACCTTGAAGACAGCAATAGTCCAGGATGAGGAAACTGACTAGTGTTTTGGCTAGGCCCAGTGGTTCAGGCCTGTAAATTAGCTGCTCAGGAGACAAAAGACAAGTCCAAACCCCAAACCTAGCCTGGGCAACACAGAAAGACTGCCTCAAAATAAAAAGTTAAAAAAAAAAAAAAACTGAATAAAAAATGGAGGACAGAGACCTAGGACTATAGCTCAGCAGTAGAGCACTTGCTCGGCATTCCTAACAATACCGCAAGTTGATACCAGTACTAAAAAAGTAGGATATTTAACAGTGGAAGCAGCACAGAGGTATGCATCTGTATTCTGAAGCAGGAGGACTCCTACTTAAAAAATAAGTAATATGTAAAGTGAGAACAGATACCCTATACTCCTAAGCAAGACTGCAACACCCAAGGGTCACGCTGACCACTCAGGACTCTATGTGCTGTGGGAAAGCGTGGAATCCAGAACAAGGAAAACAGCTGAATGTAACCCATGGGACAAGGAGACAAGGAGGAAGAGACAGTCTCAAACTCAAAATCCTCCTGCCTCAGTCTCAGAAGACTGTGTGTGTCAATAAACTCAATCCAGAATTTTTCTTTCTTTTTAAGTTTTTTTGAGGCAAGGTCTCACTGTGGAACTCTGGCTGTCCTTGAACTCACAGAGATCTGCCTATTTCTGCCTCCACAGTGCTGGGATTAAAGGTGTTCACTGTTATGCCTGGCTAAGTCATACTATCTTAAAAGAGACAGGCACAGAGGTGCATACTGTAATTCCAGAATGTCCGTGAGTAAACTGACAGGTAAAAAGGGTAAGGAAATGAACAAACATGGTTACCACAGAGACCACCATAGCTGGCACCTTCAGCCCAAAAAGAGATCTCAAAGGTAGCCAAAAAGAACAGGAAAAAATACAACACTACACACACACACACACACACACACACACCCTAAAAAGGAATAACAGAAATAGATTTCATTACAGAGCAACAATAACGAAACTAGAAAACAAAAGAATAAGCTACACAAAGTTCCAACAAAAATCAAACACTATTCTGAAAAACACAAGTAAAATAAAGACAAGTTGCAGTTAATTCTCCAGCTGCCTGTATGCAGGGAGGTCACTAAGTCTTGCAGTGTCTCTCCAGACAGAGGCCGTATGAGGGGGACACTGAACAGGCAGCCTCCTCAAGCCAGTGACAGATACTTCATACCTTGATGGCACCTGAATCTTGGACCCCTAGTCCCTACAACAGTAAGGAAACAAATTGATAATGTCCAGGTAATGCTTCATCTATCATTAAAGACACAAACTAAAGCCAATCATAGTATTATAGGCTTATAATCCCAGCACAGCAGAGCAGGGGTCCAGGCCAACCTGGACGATACAGAGCTCCAGGCCAATCAGGATAACGTAGTAAGACCCTGTCTCAAAGTAACAACAAAAGATGCAATCTAGAATAGCCCTGAAAGGTATGTTTCAAATGCCTCTGTTCTTTCACTGTTACTGAGGCAGCCCAGTCCACATGGCTTATCTGAAAACTCTTCTCTTGGTAACTGCTTTCTCTTTTCCTCTTCAAGACAAGGTCGACTTGCAATCATCCCGCCTCCAACAGTAAGTTCTGGGTATAACCAGTTAAATTATTTATCTACTTATGAGAACAGTTTTTAAAAACACAGGCAGATGGGTACAGTGGCACATACCCATGATCCCAGCGCTCAGGAGGAAGGGGGCAGAACAGTGAGTCACAGTTAATTTGCATGGCATAGAAAAACCCCATCTCAATAAAACTACGTAACGTCAAACTTCTATAACATTCATGGAGAAGCAACTTCATCCTGGGAGCTGGTGCGATGGCTCAGCAAATGAAGAAGCCTGCTGACAGCACAAAGACCTGAAGTTGACCCCCAGAACCCAAATGAGAGAACCGGTTTCCCCAAGTTGCCCTCTGACCACTGCACCTGAGTGTGCACACGCGTGTGCACGTGAGCACGCACAGATGACGTGTAATCATGAAGGGCACAAACTAGTTACAGGACAGACAAACAGGTGCCAAGTCTCTGCAGAATAGGTAAATGTTATCGCTACGTATCCTCATCTATGAACTTAACAGTAACAACAGTCTACTGTTGTGTCTAGTTAGACACACAAGCTGACAAATGCCCGGAGGGTAAGCCAAGCATGCAGGTAACTCTCATACACATAAACACTTCTTTAAAAAAAGACAGTTCACCACTGCAGGTGCCCAGCTTAGAGGGTGGTAAACAAGCTTGTCTATAAGAAGCCACACGGCAAACATTTTCAACTCTGCAGGCTCCATCATTTGTTACACTCATTCACTGCTGCACTTACAGCATGAAAGCAGTCAAAAACCATACATGACTGAGTCCCAGGAACACCATAAACTTACAGGTGCGCAAGGGGCCTTTGCCAAAGCTTCACTGACACCTTAAGTGAAAATGGGCCACCATAACTCACCTGTCTCCTTAGGAAGCAGGGCTGACATGACATGACCTCTTCCCAAACAGCTGTGCTCGGAAGTCCTCCCGTCCAGACAAGGCATTGACCTTCAGCTATGGACCCAAGACTATAGCCTCCTCCTAACACCATTTCAGAACCCTGTTGTCAAACCCCCTCACCACAACCGATGGCCTAGTGTGCTGCTACACATCGGCCAGACAATACAACCCTGAGTGTGAGCAGGTAACATAGCCATAGTCAGAGCAGCGCCCAGAGGGAAGAAGAGATGCAGGCAGCCTCAGCTGCGGCACTGGCTCTGCTTCCTCAGCTGCCTGTCTCCACTGGCTAGACACTTACTTGATCTTTAGCAAATGGAGGGATTTGCTGGACGACGCTGTTATTTCTCCAGTCTTGTTTCTATTGATGTAAACTGAGAAGCCGTTGTTTTGGAAGCCAAACTCCTTTGCAACCTATAAGCCCCAAACAACAGAAATGCAATGAAACATCTGAGCATCACATAGCACAGGCTGCCAGGACCCATGGAAGACACTTGGTAACGTTAGGAAGAGCTCATCAGATGCATCCTTGTCATTTCACAAGAAGAGCTACCTCAACATGCCAGCGCTATTTCAAACAAGTGGTCCCCAGGAACAAAGGTCTTGTATGAATAATGTGAAAAGTGAACCAGTCGAAGTCGGGGCAATGTGTGGCGAGACAACTGCTGGTTCTGCAACAGCAGTAAAAACAAATTCCAATCATAAAAACTGAGTGCAGAATGATGCTCTCAGTGAAGGAAAGCCAGCTGCAGCTAGCAAGGTGTCTTGGCAGGTACAGCGCCTGCTGCCGAGCCTTGTGGCTAGACCCACACGGGGGAGAGAGCTGACTCTTGCAAGGTGTGCTCTGGTCTCCACATGTGTACATGGCAAGCACGCCATCACTGTCCACCTCAGGGGAGAAATAAGTGTAAAAGAATTTAAACATTTTTTAAGAGAAATGTCAACTGTGCACAGCAGCATACTTGTGTGACTCCAGCACAGGGAAATGGCAACAGGGGTATGAAGTTCAAGGCTAGCCTCAGCTACACAACAGATTCATGAGACCTTGATGATAGGACACAAAACAATGAAAGGGAGAGGGAAAAGAAAGGAGGAAAAAAGGAAAAGAAAACATATAAGCAGGTAGGTAGGCAGGTAGGTAGGTAAGCAGATCATCAACTTGTGCTACTTGGGAGCAATTAATCATTTAACTCGACAGATAGTAAGCATCCTATATGCAGATCTCTAGGGATTCTAGATTGGGAAAAACCAAACAGTGAGACCTTGAAATAAATGGTATCAAATTCTTTTCTGGCTGGAGGTAAAGGCAACAGTGACACAAGGTCTCAAATAGCTCAGGCTAACTTCAAACTTAGAATGTACTACAGGCTGGCCTTGAACTCCTGACCCCCCTACCTCCTCCACCTCCCAAGTGAGGCCTGTGAGCTATTTTCAACATAAACAATCTTACCACACAGGCCAATATCAATTTCTTTACAGAGCATAAAGCCATAAAAAAAAAAAAAAAAAAAAAAAAAGGCTACTGAGCACAGGCCATCCTGCCCAAACAATATTCACGGGCTCAAGACCTGCTTTTCAAGCAAGTTTGTAAGGGCACAGAAAGGCTGTTTTAAAGAGTATTTACTGGGACTTTATTACTAACAAAATAAACCACACAGAGAGAAAAGACTCACTTACAAGAGATATCTAATGTAGTGGAATGCCCAGAAAGAGAAAACAGCATGGTGACTCCCTGGGCTACAGTGAGGAAAAAAGAGTAGGGGCTGTTTGAGGGAAACAGATTTCAGAGAAGCACAATGAAAATGTTCTGAAGACAGGTTTCACAGCAATGCAAGAATACAAAACTTTATATGGAATGAAAAAAAACAAAAACAAAAGAACATCTAGTACTAGATGCAAATCTGCATTTGACAGCAGAGAACCACATCCATAACACACTGCTAGTAAAAAACAAAAATTACAAATAGCCATATAACGCCATCTTGAACACAAATGTATCTGTAAACAACATAGTCTTATAGCCTGTCTGGGTCTGAACTGACAATCTGCCTAGGCTTGGGTAAACTGGTCACTCCCAATGGCATAACTTGCTGCCCCTCCAAACAAGCCAACTAATGACTGACAAAAAAGAGACAAGCTGGATGCTGAGCTCTGCTAGGTAAAAGACCAAGAGCAGCCTAGGTGCTGGGAGTTCTTGTCCTTTGGACACTGGCAGAAGGGGACCCTTTGGGACAGGGCCTGCAAAGAGACATGTCTCAGCAGGATTAGACTCTGTGAAAAGAAAGCTGTTCCAGTCCTATCCTGTTCATTTCACTTAAGTTCTTCCTTCTTATGTACACATGAGAATACACAAAACTTTCAAAAATCACCAAAGCACAAAATAAAATTCTAATGACAAAGGAAAGCCAGTGTAATCTCATTGTTAGTATCATAGGTATACACAGTCAGACTTCTTTGGAAACTCAATTGTATTTTAAGTTTAAAAAACTGTAACAAGAGCATCAGCAAAATTGCCTATAGCAGCATCTGAAATACCTCACTAAAAAACAGTATGAGCCAGGCGTGGTGGCACAGTCCTTTAATCCCAGCATTCGGGGAGGCAGAGGCAGGTGGATCTCTGAGTTCGGGGCCAGCCTGGTCTGCAGAGCAAGCTCTGGGACAGCCAAGGCTACATAGAGAAATCCTGTCTCAAAAAGAAGAAAAAAGAAAAAGATGAGAGGAGAGCCACAATTTGCTGGCCTTTGGTACAAAATATAAAACAAAAGTTTTATACCCAAGACTTCTCATCCACTTCAGGTCTGCCTCAGCTCTCTCCATTATCCCCTGTATATACAGTCATAAATATGTGCCTTTAATTTCTCTAAAAAAGAACTAGGGAGGGGAGGGGTAGCCTGAAGAAATGGCTCAGTGGTTAAGAGCACTAGCTGCTCTTCTAAAGGACCAAGGTTCAGCCGGACGTGGTAGTGCACACCTTTAGTCCTGGTACTTGGGAGGCAGAGGCAGGCGGATCTTTGTTGAGTATGAGGCCAGCCTGGTCTACAGAACCAGGATAGCCAGGGCTCTGTTACACAGAGAAACCATGTCAAAAAAAAAAAAAAAAAAAAAAAAAGGGCCAAGGCTCAATTCCAAGCACCCATGTGGCAGTTCACAACCACCTATAACTCAGTCGAAGGGGACCTGAGCCCTTCTTCTGGCCTCCACAGGCACTAGACATGTATACGATGCACACATTCTCATCTGCAAACCGAAAAATGACAAAATTGCCAGAAGTGCCCACCAGTAAACAGCCAGGCAGGCAAATGTCTACAGCCCTGGCAACACATGCACACAAAACAGCCATACACATTAAAAATAATTTTTGTTTGTTTTGTGTTGTTTTTCAAGACAGGGTTTCTCTGTGTAGCCTTGACTGTCCTGGACTCACTCTGTAGACCAGGCTGGCCTCAAACTCACAGTGATCCGACAGCCTCTGTCTCCCAGAGTGCTGGGATTACAGGAGTGCAACACCATGCCTGGCTAAAAATAATTGGCTTTTCAATAAGTAATTTTTTAAGAAGAGATCAGGGGAAGGGCATGGCTGGAGAGCTAGACCAGCTGCTAAGAGCACTCCATGCTGCTGCCAAGGACCTAGAATCAATTACCAACATCCACATGGTGGCGCACAGCCACATCTAACCCCAGTCCAGGAGATCCAACGCCCTCTTCTGGCCCCCATGGCCACTGCATGTACATGGTGTACAGACACAGGCACGCCAAGCACCCATACACAGAAAATAAAAATAAATCAATCAGGGGGCTGAGATAGAAAGACCTTTTTGGAATCATTGAGATTACAGCAATGAGGCCAGCCTGCTCTACATAGCAAGTTCCAGGCCAGTCACCACTATGTAGTGAGACACTGTCTCAAAATAAATAATCTTTTAAAAAGAATAAGAAAAAGTTGAGTGTAGTGGTGCACGCCTTTCATCCCAGCACTTGGGAGGCAGAGGCAGGCAGATCTCTGTGAGTTCAAGGTCAGCCTGATGAACACAATGAATTCCAGGACAGAAGAAACCCTGTCTCAAAAACAAAACAAAACTAAATAAATAGAATGGATCATTCTACACGCTTTTATAATTCCCCTTTGACAAAACTGATGTTTTCCTCCAAATGTCTGTCTGCAGCATGGTCCTGGCTCAGCCTGTGTGTGAGAAAGGGTGTCAGGCCATGGGTCCAGTTGGTCTGCAGTTCACCATATGACTAAGCCGGCCTTAAACCTCTCTCATCTTAGCTTCCTGAGACAAGAACACAGCAACCTGCTCTAAATTTTCATTCTCAAAAATTATTCTTGCCAAGAACTTTACCTGCGCTCCAGTAGCGGTCAATCATGACAAGCATCTGAACCAGAGATGCTGCTGAGCTCGCACTTGTAATCCCGGCAGCACTCAGGAAGCTGAGGCAGAAGTGCTGAAAGCACAAGGCCAGCTAACAGGGCGAGACTTTGTCTATCTTTCTGCCTCTCCTGTCCCCTTCCTTCTCTCCCTCCCTGCTCCTCAAGCAGATCCAGTCCAACCATACGAAGAAAAAGCCATACAAGTGACAACTTGGTAGTAAAAGTGAAAAAGTAGGGGGCTGGAGAAATGGCTCAGTGTAAAAAAGGATTGGCTGCTCTTCCTGAGGACCAGGGTTCAATTCCCAGCATCCACATGGCAGCTCACAACTGCCTATAACTCCTGTTCCAGGGATCAAATCCCCTCACACATGCAAGCAAAACACCAATGGACTTAAATAAAAATAAGCTTATTTTTTTTTAAAAATTAAAAAAGGAACCACGAAAAGGCATAAACAGGAATACTGGCTAGAACAAGGCCCCAAAGATAAGTGTTACAGGTACCTTTTTCAAAAATGTTGCAACTGTTTCTCTCTTTGTTGTAGTGATCCTCTTCACGCCATCTGGGGACTGGACACGGATTATCTACGGCAAATAAGGTCAGATGGTTACTGAACCTAGGGAGGTGTTCATTTTATACACAGTGTACTTGCAGTCTTTGGGCATCAGGACTGTTGAAATGAACTGTGCAGTCACTCTTCCCGCCTTTCTTCCGTGTGTGTGCTGTGTGTCCTGTGTGTGCTCCTGTATGCACAGGTACACTGACTTGTGCATGCAACCAGGGTGTCAAGAAGTCACTGCAAGGCCTCATCTGTGTCCTCTCCCTTGCTCTTGGGGACAGGGTTGCTCACTGAACCTGGAGCTCACTGTCACGGCCATGCTGGGTAGGCAGCAAGCAGCCTCCTGCCTCTGCACTGCTGGAGTTACACATGTACACCTGTGTCCGGCTTTCCTCCGGGTACTTGCACAGAAAGCCCTTTGCTCACAAACCACCTCCCTGTTCCCCATCCTTCCCCTTCCAATCCCCAACTCACACGCAAGGTGCTCTAGTGTACCATTCTGAGTCAAACACTTTGTCATTTCCTGGGGAACATTCAACTTCGAGGCTACGCATGGTGGGAACACCTGTAATCCCAAGTGCTCCAGAAGTGGAGGCAAGAACATCAGAAGCAGGCAGCCTGGGCTGCATGAGGCCACATTAACAAAGTATGTTTTTCACAAGTACAGGTACATTGTCTGCAGTTATGTCTGAGCACCACGTGCATGTACTGCCCTTCAAGGTCAGAGGAAGACATGCCATGACATCATCTTAAAAAACAGAAAGGCTAGAGAGATGGCTCAGTCCACAGCTGCTCTCACAGAACATTGGGTTCAATTTCCAGCACCTTCATGGCAGCTCTCAACTGTCCAACTCCACTTCCAGGGAATGGAATACCCACTTCTCTTCCACAGGATCCTACACACTTAGGGGGCACATAGAGTCACACATGCACACATATATACACATAAAAATAAAAGATAAGTTAATTTAAAAATAAAATAAAGGCCCTTAATACCACACGGCAAACTGAATTAGCGTTTGTTTGGGTTGTTTGGGTTTTTTTTTTTTTGGGGGGGGGTGAGATAAGGTTTCTCCATGTAGCCCTGGCTGTCCTGAACTCACTCTGTAGACCAGGCTGGCCTCAAACTCACAGAGATCCTCCTGCCTCTGCCTCGTGAGTGCTGGGATTACAGATGTGCCATCAGGTCCAGCCTAGAGTTTGTTTTTCTAGGCAGTTTTAACAAAATGTATTTCCATGACAAGGCAAGGCTAAAAATGCTGGCTGGAATTCAAGGCTGCTAGACATGGGCCTAGTTTGTAGGACTTGATTTCTATACCGACTCAGCCCCTGCTTTAGTGAGAAAGCATGAACTGGCATGCCCTGTAAGTCAGGCAGCTACTGCCTCCTCAGCTGAGGGCTTAGAAGGAAGACACAAGGTATCTCAGAAAATGCCTCTGCTGCAGTGCCTTCTCCAGCAGACACAAACAGTATACTATATAGAAAATGCTTTGTCAGAAATAAAGATTTCTGACACACTGCACAACTCTAGAATGGCTTACAGCCAACCGAACTATGTCTACTTTCATTAAACTAATTACGAATGCAAGTTCTGGTAAAATACCATGACCTGTCTCCATTTTTAGCAGTGCTCACTTGGCTCCGTCCAGTATGTCCAACACGTAAAGAGTTCTGTTCTGGAAGATACCTGTGAATACCCTGATTAAAAGGCTTAAAGTTGTGTACACATTTGCACACACTTTCCGCAGCCTGCTCACTCATCTGTGTTAAGTGCAAACATAAGTGAATTCTGATTTCCAGCACTCTTCACTTGGGACTCGCTGATAACAACGCAAGGAAATACATGGCCAAATTTCACTCTGCTCCTCTGCGAAAGGCTCACCCGATCACTCAGTAGTGAGAGCCTGTCACCCTGGCACTATGAGAAAAAAGCAGCAAGAAAAATCCTTTTGTCAATTTGGCTGACTTTGGTTTGGTTATAGGACCATGCAGACCAGACAGGTTTCCAACCCTCTACCCTTCTGGCCCAGGCTCCTGAGCCCTGGGGCTCCAGCCTATGCCACAAGGCCTAGCTGACCAAAGAAGTCTAAAGTGCAAGCTGCTCCACCTATGGAGAACAGGCTGGGCCCCACAGAGAACAGACCCTTAGGAAGTTAGATATGTGGAGACAAGCAGCAGTAGTCCCAGCTGTTTAGGAAGCTCAGGAGGATGGTCTGACCACTGGAGCTAGAAGACAGCCTGGACAACATAGCGAAACTAGGTCACAAAGTAAGAAAAAAAAAAAATTAGTAAGAATAGAGATTTTTTCTCGGAAGAACTGTTGAGTTTTTAACATTATTCCTACAGAAATTTTTTAAAGACCCCCTGAACTAAAAACAAACTGGGCTGGAGAGATGGTTCAGCAGGGAAAAGCACTTACTGATCTTGCAGAGGATCCTCGTTCAGTTCCCAGAATCCACACGGAGCTGCTGACAATTGCCTGTAACCAGCTCCAGGGTCTCCAACACCTTTAGCTTCTACCAAAAACTGCACTCATGTGCACATACACACACACACGGACGGAGACATACACATGACTTCTTCATGGGCCTGGTGAGATGGTTTATCCATCAAGACCAGAGGACCTGGGCTCAATTCCCAGCACCCACTTGGTGTCTCACAAACTTCTGTACCTGAGGATCTAAAGCCCTATTCTGGCCTCCTTAAGATCCAGGCATCCATATGGTATACACATATGTAGGCAAAACACCCACACACATAAAATAAATGTCTTAAAAATAAACTTCCAGGGGGCTGGAGAGATGGCTCAGTGGTTAAGAGCACTGTCTGCCCTTCCAAAGGTCCTGAGTTCAATTCCCAGCAACCACATGGTGGCTCATAACCATCTATACTGAGATCTAGTGCCCTCTTCAGGTGTGTAGGTATATATGCAGGAAAAATACTGTATAAATAATAAATAAATAGATCTTTAAAATAATAAATAAATAAACTTCCAAAATCAACTTCAGAAGAGGGTATTAATTCCTAACAAGCTGAAAAAGTCAATTTAAGACCCACTGGTGGCCATGAGTGCCTTTGGAATGCCTAAACAAACTGCTTGACCTCACAGTAAAGATCATTACAGTAATTGGAAAGTTTTAAAAGCAGATCTAACTGCTGATAGCTGACCTATTTTTAAGCAAGTCATCTATGACCGTAAATTTTAGTTTTACAACATAAGGCCTTTCTGAGGTTTCTCTGCATCATGTGAACATCTCCAGGGTGGGAAATACAAAGAGAACAGAAGACCCCCTACCTGGAGCTGTGAGGAAAGAGTAGTTGCCCTCAGAGAAAAGCCTTAACTATGTTAGCCCTTTGTCTGCAATCCTGATACTGAGGTAGCTGAGACAGGAGGATGTCAGGATCAAGGATGGCCTGGGATAAAACGGTCTTAAAAAAAACAACAACAAACAAACAAAAAAACCTCCTAAAGAGCTGTACTTCTCTGGAAATCCATGGAATTCAGAAATAAGTGATGTTCTCTAGAATGCAGGGACCCACTGCAGAACTGCCCCAGGCCTAAGGCACCCAACACGGCTCCCAGTCTCCCAGAAATCCCAAATGTTCCTCAGTGCTGACCACAATTCTTCTGTCAGACCAGCCTGTTATCAACATCAATCCCCAATCCCTGCCACATTTCCTTCGAAAACTCCCACAGCTTAGCTAACGGCTATGGCAGTTTTACTGACATGTTTCATGGGTCTGGGGTTTGACAATCTACTCTGTCAGGCTTAAGTAAAACCAGCCTTCATCACGGTCCTTTTAAACAGGTAGTCGTCAAGTTGTGTCAAAGAGGAGCCAGTCGCGCCAGATTGCTGTCTGCGGCCACCACCACCCCCCCCCCCGGCCACTTCCTCGGTGGGAAATGAATTCCTCTAGTGATGCCCTTCACCCGACGACTCTTCCGAAGTGAAATCATCATGACAAGGCACCGCTGGGATAGGGGAGGAGAAAGCCCCGAGGGCAGGAGAGAGGGCCGTAACCGGCTTCGGGGCCTGGGAGGAGGCCGAGGTCCCTCGAAGCAACCTGCGACAGCAGGGAGGAGGGAGGCCGCTCCACTCGTACCGCTCGGCCTCCTTCCCGCCAGCCTGTCCGGGCTCGGCCGGGATGGTGCCTCCACAAACCCAGAGCAAGAGGAGCCGCCGGCGCCCAGCACCGTCTCGCTCTGGCCCGCCCCGGACGCCGGCAAATCTGCTGCCTCATCCCGACGCCCCGCTCCCTCCCGGCCGCCGCACTCACGATGCTCTCGGCCATGGCGGCCGCTCCTGCCTCCGGACTCGGGCCCCGGGCTGCCGCCGACTGCCTTCCCAAAGGCCTCACAGCCCCGGCCTCGGCCTCAGCCCCGGCCTCCCGCCGCCGCCGCCACCGCCGCTCCAGCTTCACCTCTCGGCTCCGCCAGCACCGACGTCCAGTGCTTCACTCTACGCCTTCCGCCCGGGACAGACAGAGGGGAAACAAGGTTCCGGCCCCACCAACGGCCGCGCGCATGCGCAAGCGGCGCCGCGCTCACCTCGGCCCCGCCCCTCAAGGCACGTGCCTAGACCCGGCCTCCTCTGCTAGCCTGCAGGAGACTGCCAAGGAGAGGCTTGTTCCTTAACGTTTAGACAACACCGCCAAACCCCCCAGAAGGGGGCATCGAGTTCTCACTCAAAAAATAACCGCTGAGGGAGTTTTATGGCGTCTTCAGATTTTTCCAGCAATGAGCCGAAGCTTCTTCGTTTGCACTAAATTTTGTAACTTCATGCGTATAACTTGAAGCCCGAGGTTAAGGGAATCTTAAGAGGCTAAAGCCACCGATTTTTTTGTTTGATTTTTGGTTTTGGTTTTGGTTTCATTTTTTGTTTTTGTTTTGTTTTGTTTTGTTTTGTTTTGTTTTGTTTTGTTTTGTTTTTGAGACAGGATCTCACTAAATATAACCTTGGCTGAGCTGGAGCTCCCTATGTAGACTAGGCTGGCTTAGAACTCAGAGTGATGCCCTTACCTCTGTGCTGGGATTTAAAGAAGTGTACCCTCTCCTGCCACTGATTTCAACTTAATTTCTAAGTGTATATGGCCTTTTTTTAATATTAGACTGTTTTATTTCTTTTTTATTATATACACGAGTATATTATGTACACATGTACACACACATATGTCATTGAGGTAGATTCTTTTTTTCACCATAGCCCTGGCTGTCCTGGATTTGGACATCCTCCTGAGTGTTGAGATTAAAGGCGTGTGCTCTCCCCACCCACCTGACTAGACTTTTGGGGGGTTTGTTGTTGTTGTTTGGGTTGGTTGGTTGGTTGGTTGGTTGGTTTGGTTTGGTTTTTTTATACGAGGTTTCTCTGCATGGCCCTGGCTGGCCAGGAACTAGCTCTGTAGACCAGGCTGGCCTCAATCTCACAGAGATCCATCTGTCTCTGCCTCTACCCCCTGGTGTGCTGGGATTAAAGGGGTGTGTCAGCACCACCCAACTAGACTTTGTTTTTAATTTTTTTAAAGATTTATTTATTTTATGTATATGAGTGTTCTTTCTGCATTTACATCTGCCAGAAGAAGGAATCAGTTCACATTATAGATGATTGTGAGCCACCATGTGGTGCCAGGAATTGAACTCAAGACCTTTGGAAGGGTAGACAGTGTTCTTAACCGCTGAGCCACCTCTCCAGCCCCTGTTTTTTAATTTTTAATGTATTTTTTATATATGTTTTGCCTGCATGTGTTTTGCTGTGCCACACCAGCGCCTGGTGCCTGAGTCAGAAGAGGGAGTAGATCTCTTGGAACAAGTTTCTGATGACTGAGGTCCACTGTGTGTGCTGGGAAGTAAAACCAAGTCCTCTGGAAAAGCACCAACTGCTCTAAACTGCAGAGCCATCTCTCCAGCCCTGACTTTGAACTCTTGATCCTTCTGTCTCCACCTCCTAGTGCTGGGATTTCAGGAGTGTGCCATCACACCCGGTTTATGGGTGGTGGGGTAAAACCTATTCATAAATGATCCGCAGGGCTTCATTCATGACAGGAAAGCCCTGCACATCCAAGCCCTGCACATCCAAGGTCCGTTTTCAGTCCGGGTCTCACGAAGTCCTGCTGGCTTCAGGTCTGAAATCTTCCTACCTCTGCTTCCTGGGGACTGAGGCATTCACCACCACCTGCTTCCCCTCTTAGTCCCGCTGAATCAGCTCTGCCCATGCCAGTGCTGAGAGCACATGTTCTGTAACCTCTGTTATTTAAATTTTGGCTTGTTCATTCCGTTAACAAGTTTTACTACATGCTGACTTACCCTGGGAGCAGAGTAGGACATAGGCTCCTGCTGTGGTGCAGTTACTCCACAGGCAGATGAACTTGCAAGTATATAATACTGGGTGGATCTTAAGTCGAATACACAAACCAAAGCAAGGGCAGACATGGAGGGTGATAGAAACTGTTTAAAATAAGGTGACCAGGAGATGGAGAGATGGTAAACAGTTGAGAACACTGGCTGCTTTTCCGGAGGACCTGGGTACGTTCCTAGCATGCACATAGTGGCTCACAGCCTGCTGTAACCCAGTTCCAAGGGATCCAATGGCCCCTCCTGGAATGAAGACTAAACACACATAAAATAAAACTAAGATTGTCAGGGGCCAAGTGAACCAAGGTGCAAGTGCCAAGCCTTATGACTTGAGCGTAATCCCCTAAACCCATGAAGTGGAAAGAAAAATTCTTGGACCTTATCATCTGAGACCTTCACACACACATTATAGCACATATGCGCGCGTGCGCGCACACACACACACACACACACACACACACACACACACACACACAGATTTTTTTTTTTTTTCAAGATGGAGCTGGGCATGCCAGCACACACTTACACACTTCCAGCACTTTGGAAGCAGAGATAAGTGGTGATCTGAGTTCAAGGCCAATGTAGCCTGCAAATCAAGTTCTAGGACATCCAGAGCTACATAAAGAGGCCCTGTCTCAAGATAGAGACAGTTAAAACAGCTTTTTTTTTTTTTTTTAAGATTTATCTATTATTTATATAATGTTCTGCCTGCATGTACACCTATGTGCCAGAAGAGGGCACCAGATCTCATTATAGATGGACATGAGCCACCATGTAATTGGTGGGAATTGAACTCCAGACCTTTGGAAAGGCAGCCAGTGCTCTTAACCTCTGAGCCACCTCTCCAGCCCCCTAGGAGAGCTTTTTATTGTCAGTTTGAAACAACCTAGGCTCAGCTGGGAAGAAGGACCTTCACTTGGTCATGCTGATTTGTTTGGCCTTTACCGTGGGAAGGCCCACCCCACTGTTGGTAGCCCATCCCTGGGCAGGTAGGCCTGAGCTCTGGGACCAAGCTAGCTGAGCAGGAGCCAGCAAACAGGCCAGCAGATAGCATTTCTCTGACGTCTTTGTCTCCACTCCTTTCTCCAGCTTCTCACTTTGAGGTCCTATCAGCTTCCTCTCCATGGGGCATAGAGCTCTTCAAAGAGACCTTCAAAATCCTGCCTGAACTGCTCTTTCACTGGCTTCCAAGTCCGTCAGGAACCTGGTGCTTTCTCTATGCTGGCCCACGTACATGGAGGGCCCAGGTATGTGCTAACATGCCCAGTATGAATATTACATACAAGAGGAAGTGAATAAGATGTGGCTTTGGCCAGTTGGTGGTGGCACAGGCCTTTAATCCCAGCACTTGGGAAGCAGAAGCAGGCAGATCGGAGTTCAAGGACAGCCTGGTCTACAGAGTCAGTTCCAGGACAGCCAGGGCCATACAGAAAACCCTGTCTCAAAGAAAAAAAAAAAAAAGAATCCATAGCTTTATGCAAAAGTGATAGACAAGTGCTTTCCCACTGAGCCACAAATGCAGCCAATAGAAAACATTTTATATAAGTGATTTACACCAGGACAGGCTGCCGCTGCCTGGGCCATAAGGAAGCCTGGATGGAACAGGTAGTCTAAAGCCGATAGAATCAGTAGGGACATAGCTCTGTGAGTTCAGCCTTAGAGTTCATCCTCAGGACTGGGGGAGGGGAGAAGAAACAAGAAGTGCTGCTGCTGCTGCAAGACGCTGCAGGGCCCCAGGCAGTGATGTCAGTGCATTGGGGATGACAGCCGACAGCACACACCATGCCAGGCCATTCAAGGCCAGCAAATTCGTCTGCAATATAAAGTTCTAAGCCAGAGTAATGGTAGATAAGGCTAAAAGTAAAGGCTGAGCCTGGACCGTCCATCAAAAGCTGAAACTTAGGGGGACTGGGGTTGAAACAGGAGAGGCCATGTGGCAGCCTTTTGTCTTGTCCTAACCGCGTCTGCAGAAGGGCTTCTTGATGTCTTTGAAGGTCCTGTGAGCCCACAGTGACACTGACAAACACATCTGCACCTCACACACAGAAGCCAGGAGACTGGGGAGGTACAAGCCCAAGGCCACACAGCAGCATTGGTGGTTGGTAGGGCCCAGGGTTAACAACCTTGGGACATGCTTTCTGTTGCGGCATCACCCAAGTCCTTTAGACACAAGGGCCAGTTGGTGATCTTAACAAAAGCCTGCCTCTGTGAGCTTGGAGGGAAGGGGTGTCTGCAGTGTGGCTGCTGACTTGTCCCTGCCCTGGACCACCTACAAGGACACACTGGCACTTGTGCTGCCTATGGGGCTCCTCAGACGGCTGCTGTGGACCAGGTTGCAGAGACCAGACCCCTTGAGGGGCTGATAGGACAGCAGCCGAGCCTTCCAGGCTGAGGGACTTCGTAGTGATGAACAGCACTGGGGACAACCTTACCAAAGTCATGGCTTTGCAGATGTTAGGCGTATCCCCAGAGCCAAGGCCAAGAATCGGAGCTAAGAAGGCCACATGCATCTGCAGAAGCAGGGGCCTGCCTTAAGCTCTAAAATGTGACTCCTCACATGACCCCACTGTGATGGCTGTGTGGGTGGAGCCTGCAGCTCTCCAACCCTGTTATACAGCTTACAGAGAGGCCAGGGCACCACTGCACCAGGACGGGACGCTAACCTGTTGAGAAAGGCGCCGGCCACCTGCCTCTGCGGTTGTCTCCGTTCGAGTGGAGAATGGAGGAAGGAGAAAGTAGCCCCTTGCTCTTCCAGGTGAGCCAGTATGTAACGGCCTAGCTGGGGCAGGAGATGTCTCTTGGCCCTAGGATCCTCTGGAAGGCCCTGGACCAGGTTATAGTCTACCTGGCTCCTGGCCCCGCCCCCAGCCTAGCTGTGTACTGGCATTTCTCATTGAGCAGATGCCAATGGGTGACTCTCAGTCTGGGGTGGGGGCTTCACTAGTCAGATGGCTCCCCTTACCCATGGCTACAGTTGCATGCCTGCCTCTATGGGATCTCCTAAAGGTCTCAAAAAACACACTGACTCGGGAGCAGGTAAGGGCAAATGTCATTTGAGGCTAACTGCAGACTCCCTGGCCTTGGACAGTCTTGATGCTGCCAAGTGGCCTCTGCCAGGCTCTGATAGACTCTGGCTGACAAATAACCTTCCCATATTCTGCTCCAAATCCAAAAGCCATCCATGCAGCTAGGCAAGCACAGATGGAAGGGCTAGCTTCTTCCTGGTGGGGCTGGGCTGAAATAGGGCCCTTGCCTAGTCTCTGGTTGTAATTACTCCCAGGTCGATCTGTCATTAGTAAAACCAGGTTGTGGGCAGAGCTGTCCCATCTCCCTGTTAGGGTCTGTCTCCTGTCTGCCTGCTCAGCTGAGCCGACCCCTGGAGGGCAAGTATTCTTTGCCGCCTCTGGATTGCTGACCCAGTCTCCCGGCCGCCTCTCTCCCTGCCTAGGAAGCCAGGCAGGCAGGCAGCACCCTGCCCTGAATCCTCTACACTCAGTCCAGCACAGTGTCCATACCTGGCCTCAGTTCTGTTGCTAGGTCCGATGCAGGGGAGTCAAGGTTGATTTCACAGAGGAAGGTGGGAGGGTGGTCCCAGGACCAGCCGCTCTGTCCCAGGCAGCCGGCACTTCCTGACTCGATGGGAAAGTCCCTCCTGGGACTGCACAAAGTCACTGCTGGGGCAAGACCATGGCTGGTCCCTCTTTCACAAGAGGAAGAAAGGAAGTGTGTAGTCTCTTAAGCGCTGGCCTGCCCAGTCTTTACCATCGACCTTCCACAGTGCTGCCATTACACTGTCCTAGTGGAGGCTGGCCTCACACACCTACCCTGGAAGGCAGTGAACTAGGGCCCTCACTGCCCTCTACTCCCTGCCTAAGCCAGATGAGACCACAAGTTCCCAGCCCCGAGCTATCCAATTCTCAAGGCTTTCCTTCCTCCAGCAAGCTTCCTCTAAGCGCACCTGGCCCTTCCTTGGTGTGCCACACTCCCTGCTGGACGTTGCAGAGTTTGAATGGCTGAAGGCTCCCACTGCACCCTCTGAGTTTCCTCTCCTTCTGCAGGGCATCGCTGGCCAAGAGCCACCACTCGCCAGGAACAGTCCCCCTCCTGCAAAATCCCCAGGTCCAACACTCTGGAAGGACCAGACAGGGGTATGGGGCTGCAGATGCTGGCCTGGAGCAAAGCACCAAGCCTGGAGGGACGGCCTGGCCTCCTCCCTCCACCTTTCCATAGGGAGCAGCTGTGTCAAGTACCTGACCTTCCTCTCCAACTTCGTCTTCTCCCTGCTGGCCCTGCTGGCCCTGGCTGCAGGGCTCTGGGGCCTAGCTGTTAAAAGTTCTGTGGGGAGTGGCTGGGATGGACCCCTGCCCACAGACCCCATGCTGATGCTGGTGCTGGGAGGCCTGGTGGTCAGCGTGGTGAGCCTGTCCGGCTGTCTGGGTGCTCTCTGTGAGAACAGCTGCCTCCTGCACTGCTACTGTGGGGCTGTCCTCTCCTGCCTGGCCCTGGAAGCCCTGGCGGGGGCTCTAGTGGTAACCCTGTGGGGCCCGCTGCGGGCCGGCCTGGAGTCTGCCCTTCATGCTGCCGTCATCCGCTACTGGGATGACCCAGACTTGCGCTTCCTCCTCGACCACGTCCAGCTGGGGCTGCAGTGCTGCGGAGCACTATCCTACCAGGACTGGCAACAGAACCTGTGAGTGTGCCCAGCCCGCAGAGAGGAGGGGCGCGCCGGATGCCTCACTCAGCCACTGGAGCGTGCAAGCGTGCCTGTGTGCACGACCTTGTGCACACACACACCACATGCCTTGCACTCCTGCTTCCACAGGCCTGTTCACAAGTGCACTTGAGTACATACAAATGCACTCTCATGTCCTCTCACTTATCCCTTTCACATAAATACAAAATGGAGTCTCTTCCTGAGGCACATACACGCACGTCACATATACACACACAGACATAGAGATGCGTGTCCTCACTCATGAGGTGTGGGGTGCTTGCCTTTGCCTAGGCCATGGGTGTTGAGCCTGAATGAGCCTAACTTTTGGCCAACTCAGGGGCCCAGACTCAGCTTCTCCATACTGTCCCTCCAGGTAGGGGTCTTAATTAAGAGGCCAAGCCAGCGGACACCAGAAAAGTGATTTTTTTTTTTAATCAGAATATTTTAACTCAGAACACTTCAGTGTCAAGAAAAACACCTTAGGTTAGCTCAGGCCATCAATCTGTGACCCCACAGGTCTCTATGTGTTTACGTGATCCTGATTAAGCTTCTAATTTAGGCCCACTTTAGGCCTGACACAATGTTTTATGTTCTACTTGAGGGTCCCTGGTCTGTCTACCTCCTCCAATGCACAGACACCCTGAGCAGCACCTGTCCTCACTGACGACTAGGGTAGACATTATGCTCCCTCCCAAGGGAGGGAGGAAGCAGGAAGAAGGTGTGGAGACAGAGGAGGCTCTAAAGACTGCCTGTTTGCTCCTACCATAGCTGCAACGCATGCCATGCCCTGGGCACCCTGCAGAGCATCCCCAGGTTACTGGGAAAACCCACCTAGTCAGGGAGAGTACACTCTGTTGGTGGTCCAGACCTGGGGAAAACTGCTGCGGAGGCTCCTCAGCCACCAACGGGCTGCTTAGGCCTCTGCTGCGGCCCAGGAACACTTCTTACTGCAGCCCATTCTGGAAGCTTCTACGGGAGCTCAGAGGCTAGCTGCTCAGATAAACTCACAGTGTGGTCGGGCAAGGTCTTTTATTCTTGTTTTTGCTTTTGTTGTTTTCTTTTTCAGGACAGGGTCTTTCTGTGTAGCCCTGGCTGTTCTGGAACTCACTCTACAGACCAGGCTGGCCTTAAACTCACAGAGACCAACCTGCCTCTGCCTCCTGAGTGCTGGGATAAAAGGTGTGTGCCACCATCCCCCAGTGGGGCAAGGACACCTTACCTCCTCCCCTTCAACCACCTCACCAAACATTTCTTTGCCTGCCGAGATAGACAGCCCTGGTCTGCAAGTATAGCAGTTTCTGTGATACAGAAACTGGTGTCCTGTGTGTGTGTTTGCACGTGTGTGCATTAACCCTTTCATATGTGTATGTGTGTGTGCCTGCGTGTGTGCGTGTCTGTGTGGGTGAATGTGTGTCTGTGTGTGTGTGTGTGTGTGTGTGAGAGAGAGAGAGAGAGAGAGAGAGAGAGAGTCTGAAGGCAAACCTTCTCTCCAACCCTTGTGTGCCCTGCAGGTACTTTAACTGCAGCTCTCCTGGGGTGCAAGCCTGTAGCCTTCCTGCCTCCTGCTGCATCGACCCCCAGGAAGAGAGAGCTTCAGGGAACACTCAGTGTGGCTTCGGGGCGTTGCGCCTGGACCAGAATGCAGCCGCACTGGTAGTGCACCTGCAGGGCTGCGGGCCCGCACTGCAGGAATGGCTGCAAGGGAACATGCCGGCCATAGGAGGCTGTGCCGTCACTATTGTCATGATCCAAGGGACTGAACTCCTGTTGGCTGCTTGCCTGCTGAGGGCTCTTGCTGTCCACAAGCAGCAGAGGACACAGAACCCAGCCCTCCCCCCGAGCAGAGCTGAGAAGAGAGGCCTCTCTTCACTGTCCAGGGAAGTGTCAGGGTAACTAGCTCTCCAAGGGACTGACCCCTGGCCTTTCACTCCTGGCCCATTGCCTCCTTCCTTGCTGCATCTCTTCCGTCAGGCCCCAAGGCCCACCTGGATGGACTCTGTGCTGCCCTGATTTCACAATTTCACTCCTGATTTCTCAGGACCCACCTAAGCTCATGGCTGGCTTTTGCAGAGGCCACAGAGGCCTGTGTCTGAGCATACTGCTTCCCACTAGGTGACAGGAAGGGCAAGGGCTGTGGGTTCCCACTTCGACCCTCAGCCACCAACTCTGATCTGTGTCAGCCTGGCCGGCGAGATAGTCTAGATCCTCATTCCGTCACTGCTGGCTTTTCAGGGCCGACTCCTGCTTTCTGGTCTTCGGTGAGATGTAGGGTAATGCCCAGGCCACACCCTGTAGAAAGCTTTTTTTGGTAGTAGAAAGACTTTACCTATTGGTGTATACATTAATATTTGTATAGTAAACTACAGATCTCACAGAGACTGGGACTGTCTCCCCCAAATCAAGATGGAGACAATTCCTAGTTTCCCAGCTAGCGCGGACTGATTACAAGTGTGTACCATTAAGTGTGTGCCAGCCCCAAGAGCCCTTCTGAAAGCCATTTTCTGGTCATGCCCAAGTAATAATCCTACTGTCACCATAAGTGTGGTGGGTGCTTTGGGGTGAGTTTGCCCCTATGCCTTACCCCATGTATGGAGTTCCCAGGTCACTGAGGGTACACAGCAGGTGTTGGACTTGGGATGGACTGCCTGGGCCCTGGGGTTGCTTATCGGATGCCTGTGTTTAGGCTTCTGGGTTTTGCCTTTACCCGCCCTCACCCTCAATGACCACCAGAAGTGAGGGTCACGGCCAGGATCACATGTGCAGGACCTCCGGGTGTAGCCTCTGTAAAGGTGTGACAACGGGAATGTTCTGTCTCTCTTCCTGGCCAGTCCCCTACCTCCACCTGCCCTGGTGACCCTACCAGGGCTGCGCCCCTCTGTCAGTGTGCTTCAGATAAGCAAGGATGTGCTCATTTTATTTTGAAATAGCAGCAAGGGACAGAGCATGTTGGGAAGGTTGGTATAATGGTACAGCAGCCTTAGTCTCTCTCAGCGCATCGCCCAGGACAGTGTCTCACCCCAAGTCACCCTTCTGGAGGGGCTGCAAGGCAGGGGATCTCTCTTACCCACAGAAGGCAGTTCAGGGAAGCATCACTGAGGAGTCCATTCCTGTGTTCCAGCCACAAGAAGGACAGGAAGTGGGGCTGGGGCCCCTCCCTTCTCTCTCCTGACCAGCAACCTCAGGTCAGCAGAGTGTTGTGTGGGAGGTGGTGGGCTCTTGGTAGCAGGTGTCAGGGCTGAGGTTTTCTGCCTAGAGGCCAAGGGCAACCTGGCTAGGGACTCAGCTCAGGCTTGGCAGGGTCCTGGACTGGCTTACAGAGGGGCGGGGTAGAGCGGGCTTCAGCGGGCCTCTTCCACAGGGCTCTCGTGGCGGGGATCTGACTAAATGATGCCATACTGGGCCAGTTCATGCAGCTCCAGGTGATTGAAGGCCTCCCAAGGGCAGATGACAGTGATGTCTGCCGGAAAGGTGGGTTAGAGATAGCTTCATGGCCCAGGGGCTACCCCATTTTCTGTCACCTGGCTTCTCGCTCCCCAAATGAAAGCCTTGTCTGCCTAGAGTGACAGTCTAGTCTCTGCTTGCAAACCGTCCTCCCAGGAGGGAGGAATTAGCTTTCCCATCTGCGTCAAAATGGAGAGCTCAAGGGAGCCTTTGCCAAAGCTGGAAGGAGGAGCAGGGTTTCTCCTGTGCCTGGTGAACCTACCCCATCCCTTGCAGTGGGAGAGAAATAGGGACAGGATGGAAGGCAGACTAGCAAGAAAGACAGGGACCTGGGACCCGCAGGAGTGTGTGAGAGGGATGGAGGGCACTCAGCAGGGCTGCCCCGATGCAGCCATGCTGGGCTGGCATACCTGTTCCCAGGCCTTCCATTCCAGGGATGTCATCCCCGAACCTGCAAGGGCAGAGTGGTCAAGGATGACGTCTCTCAGAATTAGATCTAGCCACCCCTGCAGACCAGCCTGAAGGTTTCCTCCCCTATGTGTGCTGCCAGGCAGACCTGACGGCTCGCCTCCCCCCCACCAACAGGGGCTGGTGTGCTTCCCAGAGATTCACAAACGGAGGACCAGCAAAGCAAGGGTGAGCAGCCCAGATGCACGAGGTTGCCTGGGTGGGTCTGAGCTGCGGTTTCTCCAGGACAGTACCGTGGAGTGTGTGAGTGAGTGTGAGGGTGCTGTGTGTGTCTCAGTGTGCCACCTGTGGTTTGTCCCTGAAGGCTCAGATGCTGGAAACTCATCCCCAGCACAGAAGTACTGGGGGAGGGGTGGTAGAGCTGTAAGAGGGAGGCCAATAGAGAGTGACTGGGTCACGGGGACCATTACGATGGATCGGAGCCAATCTACAGACAAGGCGGCCGTAGGAAGAGACTGGTACCTCCCTGCCTTCTACATTCTCGTCTCCATCCCTTTCCCCAGCATTCCTGCAATAATACCACCCTCCAGGTGTAGCATAAAGACAGGGTCTGTACCAGGGGCCAAAGAGTTGAGACCATCCCTCCTGGAACTTTCAATCTCCCAAACTGTGGGCTCAACAAATTTCCCAGTATTTCATCATAGCAACAGACAACTGGCTAAGGCGGTGATTCTAGGTGTTCACCTGTAGGCGTCTGTGCGTGGGTGAGTGTGGTGGGGTGTGGGCGCGCCTTCCTGAGGAGATTCACACAGGCTACGGCCCTCCTGGGGCCCCAGTCAGAACACACACTACAAAGAGCCCGCCCCAGCCCCCACCTTGCCCTCCCATGTCGGTCTGTGAGAGGCTCCCCTCTGCTGCTCTGCTTACCCTTGGACACCTTTCTTGGGGGGCTTGCTCTTGAACTGCCTGGTTTGCCGCTGCTTAAACTTAGGTGGTCCTTTCCGGGGGGTGACCGGTCCTCCTATAACCCGTGTGGCTGACCGAATCTCAGCCTTGGGTGGCTCCAGGTTCATGGTGAGGCTGGCCGAGACACTGCAGTGACCCTTGGTTTCTGGACTCTGTCAGGCCGGGCTGGACTCCTCATGCAGGCTAAGGCAAACCGGACAGACCCCTGTTAGTTCCCTGGCTTCTGCATTTCAGCCTGGGGAGCGGAGGGGTGATGCCCTGAAATAGCCGTCTCCACTGCAAAGAACCACCTTCCAGCTCCTCCCGGGCTTCCCAGCACTCTCCTCCTGCCTGGGCCCATCCCACTCCTCCCACTGCTAGCAGCCACACACAACTCACGTGTCTCCCTGGCACCCATCTCACACTCCTAGCCCACATCAAACCCTCATTTTGGCCCCTTCACATGTCCTAAACCTGGACTTTTACGACCTCCCCGTGCAGGTAGCCACTGAACACCGCTGTGCCTGCACCCTCCTTCCACCTGCTGGACTGTGTGTGCGCCAGCATGCCACTGTGCAGAAAGCCTTCTGAGGCCTCCTGGGCCTGGAACAAAGGGCCCTGCCTGACCCTGCAAGTCACCCTCACTGTCCCTTCTCAGGAAGCCTCCTCAGACTCTACCCATGCCATTCTGAATTCCCAGGTTCTGATTTATTTCTTCATGTCACATACTTGTAAAGTCATCATTTAGTTAGTTACTTAGGTTTTTTGTTTTGTTTTGGTTTTGTTTGTGTTTTGAGACAGGGTTTCTCTGTGTAGCTCTGGCTGTCCTGGAACTCACTCTGAGACCAGGATGGTCTCAGACTTGGAGATCCACCTGCTTCTGCCTCCTGAGTTGCTGGGATTAAAGGTGTGCATCACTACCACCCAGCTAAATTCCTTCTTGTTTACATTCTTCTTTAAATATATTTGTTCATATTTATGTACTTGTTTTGGGCTTGTTATCTGTCCCTTAGGGTTGGACTTGGTGCTGATAAATAAAATACACAAAATAGAACACAGAGATCCCCCAGAGCAGGCCTTGTTTTTGAACCAGGGAACCTGCTGAGCTGGGTACAGCAGGTTTTCACAGCTCCATTTCCAAGGGCCAAGCCAGAATCGGGTCTTAGGGAAGGCAATTGCACTGGTTCTTCTCCTGAGCATAGCATGTCCGCACTGCTCACTAGCTCACTTGTCCGGGCTCATTCTAGGCTAAGCATCAGCTGGGGACGCTGGTGTGGCTGGACTGGCCTAAGCTGCCCTGTGTCCGGCCACGGAAAGTCACTATGCAGGACACACTCTCCTCCTCTCCCCAGAGCCTCTCCCCAAGAGCTCTGAGCCCCAGTGACCTTGGCCATGGACAGCGCAGCTTTCTGTAATCCTATTAGCACCTAAAGGAGACTCCTAATCTCCCAGGGTTTCTAGAAAGCTCCATAAACCTCAGGGTGACCCAGACAGGAGCTGTTTGCCCCTACCATAGCTCTCCCAAGGGGCTACCTCTTAGGGTTCCCTTTTCTGTCCTCCTCAGTCCTGTGGGGTGTACCTCTCAGTCCAGCCTTTTTTTAAGACAGGGTTTCTGTGTAGCCCTGGCTGTCCTGGAACTTGCTCTGTAGACCAGGCTGGCCTCAAACCCAGAGGTCCGCCTGCCTCTGCCTCCTCAGTGCTGGGATCAAAGGTATGCGCCACCACTGCCGGGGCTGCTCAGTTCAGTCTTAAGCCACTGTTTCTGGAATATGTTTCCTGGACCCTCAGGGCTGAGACTAATTAACAGACAAGGATAAGTCTGTTGCAGGCAGGACTCACCCCAATCTCAGTGGTCCCCTCTACCTTCCTACATTCAGCCTGAAGCCAGCACCAGCCTAGGAAACAGGACTCAGGAGCTTAGGAGACCAGGCTGCTCAGTCCTGGGGCACCATGGTGAAATACTTCTCTAGCTAAAGGCCATGAACTCCCACAGGCACCTGACAGGGTTCCAATAATCAGTGCAGTCTCCATGGAAACCATGCCTGAGCTACCTCTCCAGGACTGACCTAAAGCGGGTGCCATTCAGGTGTATGATCAGGTTGCTGGCCTTGGGGCAGAGGCACTACCATTTGGCATTGTGGAGAAGCAGAGGAGGTGCTTGGTAGGATGTCCTTGCTAAAGAACAGGGGGGTGACCGACCAGGACAGGCTCCTAAAGACTGGAGAGCTCAGAAGAGGTGGTAAAAGCCTGTCGGCTTCCCCCAACCCAGGGTGAGTGAGTGGGTGCCTAGCTGTCAGAATGGGCAACAGGATGAGCTATTACTCACCAAGCACTGTGCAGACCTCAGGGAGCCGCAGGTGCCAGTCGGGACCTGGATCAGCAGAGCCCTGGCCTAGGAATTTATCCTTCTGCTGAACGGATTATGATTCTTTCTCTGACGCTACACTAAGCAGCTTGCTGGGCCTTGAGGGGGCCTTACTCCCGGCTGGGATGGCGAGGGTGGGCAGAAGGGGCTCAGGTGCAGCCAAAGGCCTAAAGGAAGGTCACCCAGTTCTAGTGGGTAGCCAAGAGGAAGGGGGAAGTATGATCTCCAGTAGTTGTGGGACTACACCTCCAGGAACAAAGAACAGGGCCGCCTTCCAGACAGGTCCTGCCCGTTACCACCCTCACTTTCTGTCCCATCCACAGAGGAACTGTTTACAGACCTTGACATTCTGTGTGACAGCCACTATCTATTTTTCCCGTGCCTTTCAGCATTGCCTCTTGCATTCCAACCCCAAGGCCTTTGTATCTGCTACTCTGTGTAGTCCCTTTTCTGGACCCATTTCTCTAGCTTCCTGGTCTGGGCCTCTAGGGCTCCACCCCATGTCTTAGTGGTGCCTCGAAAGGGAGGTATGACACCTATTTCAGATTAGCTTTTTTCTTCACACTTATTGTATGAAGTTTGGATAGAGTTGTGGTTTTGTTTGTTTCTGCTTGCATGTGTGTCTGAGTGAAGGTATCAGATCCCCTGGACCTGGCACTACAGACAGTTGTAAGCTGCCATTTGAGTGCTGAGAATCAAACCCAGGTCCTCTGGAAGAGCAGCCAGGACTCTCGACCACAGAGACATCTCTTTAGACACCCCCCCTTTTTTTTTTCTTTTAAACACATGGTCTTATGTGGTGCTGGGCTGGCCTCAAACTGTCATGTGGCTAAGGATGGTTTTGAACTCCTTGTCCACTTCTGCTTCCCAAGCGCTGGAATGGCATCATGTGCCAACACAGGCAGCTGTGCACGATTCCTATGCTAACCTTTGGGAGGCATGTGTCTGCTAGCGTCTGGCCCACCATGGGCATTTCACAGTTATGGTGCTAAGCACCTGGGGATTAAATTGTTGGAGGCCAGAGTCAGAGAACGTGAGTGCCACATACACAGGAAAAGACCTGGGCCCACCGCAAAGGGCTGGCCAGTGGCTCCCCTTCAGAGGCATCTCATACAGCGAGACCTTACTGGCCTCTGCCACAATTATCAAATGCTGGAGATGCTGGTTTTTGTAGGATCCACTGGTATTAACATTTCCTGCAGGTGTGAACTAATGTCTACCTGGCCTAGGCAGCACACTAGCGACAGAGCAGAGAAATGGTTCCAGCCATCTAGCTTGGTGAACCCATGAGTTCATTGGGGTAACTTACAGGATCATGGGTGGTCAAAGGCCTCTGTATCATCAAGAGTGATGATCCAGGCTGGGCAGTAGTGGCACACCCTAATCCTGGCACAGGCAGAGGCAGGCTGAGATCTGAGTTTGAGGTCGGCCTGGTCTACAGAGCAAGTCCTAGGACAACCAGGGCTACAAAGAAACCCTGGGGGTGGGGGGAGAGTGATGAGTCACAAAAGTTGTGCCTGGAGTTTTCTGCACAACTTGTAGGCAGCTCAGCTAGCTTAGTCTCCACTTTCCAGCAACTGGGCTATCTTATCTTAGGGAGGGCTCTGTGCTTCTGGCAAGTTTTAGGAGCTTTCTGAGCCAGACTTATTTACCCACTAAGTCTTTTGAACCTGTTTTTGGAGGAAATGTTTCAGTCCATAGTAAGTAGCTACACAGTCTGGGACCTGTTAGGCGTGGACACTACTGTCATGTTTATCTGGGCCCAGCTGAGTACTTTGGAAGACATGCAATGTCTGTCCAAGACACCTGAACTGTGTTCTTTCACCCACTAGCGAAGTGTCCCTACTTTCTGATGTCCGGATTTGTGTAAAACACCAAACATGAAAAAAGCCCCATTTACCAGCTCAAACCTAGCAGGAAGTCACTCTATAATCCTAGCCTTCCCTTTAAGGTAGGTGAGCACAAATGCCTCTAAGCTCAGTACTTCTGGAGCTGCCTTGGTTATTCCAGCAGTACTCAGAACTCTGGGGGCTGATCTTCACTACTACATGGTAGAAAGAACTTCTCCCCCCAGGGCCCAGAGGAGACAGGTTGCAGCTAGGCCCCTCCCAGGTGATGGTTCTCCTTTACCACAAAGAGACTGGACCTAGAGTTTATTGTCAGCAGGACATCCCAGGTACACTGGGGCCTGGAGCAACTCCTATCACAGATGTTCAGGGAGACAGGGGTCTAGTTCATTTTCACCAGTGAGAAAAGAAAGCTGTGGCTGCTCAGCAGGGACACACAGCCAGCAAATGTATGCTTCTTTTGACAACACAGGCAGAGGGACAACACAGAGGCCGCACACGGCTGACAGAGATTTATTTATTGCGAGGTGAAGTCGTTACACAACAATCCGTATTCCTGGCAGACATGTGGAGTCTTCCAGACGCAAGGGTGAGAGGGGTCCTGCAGCTTAGGCTTAGCATTTGTCCACAGCAAGGCTTCCCAGGTAAGCCGGCTCAGGTTCCACTCTGTGGGCGGAGCCGGATCTCCATTCTGATGAAGGCCTTGAGGTTCTCATCAGTCACATGCTCCTCTAGAAGGGCCAGGGCCTGCTCCCCACCATCCTGGTAGTGCCTCATCAGAGCTTCCGCATAATCTACCCATACACAGTTAGGACAGCCACTCATGCAGCAGTTCGTGGGGGGCTGGAGTTCAGGGGGCAGAGAGTATGGCGGCCCTTTGGGGCTCCCCGTGGGTGGGGAGGCTTTTGGCTCCCTGTTATTCTCCACACCCACTTGGAAATCCTCTTCCCTGTGGTCCATCCCCAGCTTCCTGCAGCTATCAGTGGCTTGCCCTGCGGCATGGCGTCTGTGAAGGACCCCTCGTCTTCCTCGGGGAAGACTCTGGCAGCAGCTGCAGATGGCGAACTGGTGAGAACACGGGATAATCAGTATGACTTCAGGAAACTGTTAACTGCTCTGGGGAATGCTCAGCCTTCCTAGCATTGCAATGGCGGCTTGACATCCTTCTCACTTCCCGCGGAGCCATAGACAACTTGGTATATTTAACTTCTGTGTACTGCTTTCCTATCTGTGAGATGGACATACTGGTGGGTATGAGAAGAAGCTTGTCAAGCCCCTGATTCCCTGCCAGGCACTGGGCCTGCGCTCCAAACGATTGCACGAGGAACAACTGCAGACCAGACTGACCGTGGAGAGGATGAGGGAAAGGCCACAAAGCCGGTGGACCCTGACCGCCTGCTATAGCTAAGCACTTCTCTGAACATGCTGTGTGCAGCATTCTCCGCCCCCGCCGTCTTTTCATCACTTCACACCAGAAGCTCAGGGGATATCGGGTGGCCCTATTTTCCGCCTCAGAGGCCCTCGGGTCCCCTTCCCTGCTATTCCCTAAATGTTACTCTTGCAATTTACTAACTCCTCCGGGGCCCAGACCTGAAGAACGCTCTCAGTGAGCGCGCTGACCGTGACTCCTCCTCCAAGCGCGGGCCGGCCTCCCAGACCTGGGATACCCCGGCTCCGCGAAAGGCTTCCCGCAACCCGGCCGGGGCCTTGGGACCCGCTCAGCCCGCGGGAACGCGTCCAGCACCAGCGCGCCGCTCCCACCCGGCCTCCCCGGGACAGGCTCTGCAGCAGCATCCCGACAGCTAGCGCGGATGCGAGGGCCAATGAGCGTGGGCCTGAGAGCAGGAAGCGGAAGTGACGCTACAGGGCGGGCCCGGCGAGAGGGCGGAAATAGCACCGCGAGGGGCGCTCCTGGGCTCATAATGGCGAGACAGGGGCGCATAGCCCGGGGAAGTGCGCTGATCGCGGGTCTCGGAGGGTCGGGACGGCCGCAGGCGCTGCGGAAGCAGCAGTCGCAGGGCCCTTCACGGCCCGGACAGCGCAGGTGGGTGCCATCCTGGGAGAGGACCCAGTTGGGAGCTTTTACCCAGCCCAGTCCCACGCTCAGCCAAGCGGAAGTGAGTGTATCAAGGGTCTCTTGAGCCACATACCGGGTATGAGGCGGGGGCTGCCAGCCTCCGTGTGCTTTCGGAGCGCACTTTGCCTCAACATGCCAAGAAAAATCCAGTTCAAGACCCCTGCACCGTTTTGTGTTTTTTTTTAATATTTGTTATATGTATATGAACGCTCTGTTTTCATACACACCAGAAGAGGCAATCAGATTCCATTACAGATGGTTGTGCGCCACCATGTGATTGCTGGGCATTGAACTCAGGACCTCTAGGAAGGGCAGTCAGTGCTCTATCCGCTGAGCCATTTCTCTAGGGTTTCCCTTCACCCTTTCTTTGTGGGCTTAATCCTTACTCTTTTTCTGCTTATGTTGTACTTGGGAAAGGTCACACTCCTGGGTTATGGGTTATCTTTCCAGCAAAGAAAAGAAGAAAGTGAATTGCAAGCCCAAGAACCAGGATGAGCAAGAAATCCCTTTCCGGCTCCGAGAGATTATGAGGAGCCGACAGGAGATGAAAAAGCCGCTAAGCAACAAGAAGAGAAAAAAGGAGGGTATGTACAGCCAGCCCTTGCTAGGTCCCACCGTAGCCATGTCAGAACCCATCCAGTTGACCACATACTTAAAGGCGTGGTACTTCGAGACCCAGTACTGGAGTGCGCGGTTCGGGAAGGATCTTTACGGGGAGGACAGCACAGGGCTGATTTTACAGCAGGGCGCTTCTGGGATTTCTGTGAGTGTTTGGGCTTTTGAGGTGTTATTCTTAGTACTGTGTGTGCAGGTGTGACAGTTGCGGAGGAATGTGGGTGCAGTTGCTGCTGGAGACCAGCAGGGGGTGCTGGATCCCCTGGAGCTGGAATTTCAGGGCTTTTCTGCCCAGTGTGTTTGCTGGGGAGCCAAACCCAGGTCTTTCAGGCATACATTTTCTTTGTTTCTTTCTTTCCTTCTTCCTCTCTCCTTCCTTCCTTCCCTCCCTTCCTCCCCTCCTTCCTTTCCTTATTTTTTTGTTTTTTCGAGACAGGGTTTCTCTGTGTGGCCTTAGCTGTCTTAGACTCACTTTGTAGACCAGGCTGGCCCCGAATTTACAGAGATCCGCCTGCCTCTGCCTCCCAGAGTGCTGGGATCACAGGTGTGCGCCACCATGCCTGGCTGGAGTACATATTCTTAGTGCCTGTGCTTTCCAGCTGCACTGTTGTGTTTTTGTTTGGTAGGTTGTTTCTAGGTGGCTCTGGGTGGCCTCAAACTCTGCATCACTTCACCCTCACCTCTGAGTGCTGGGATCATGAGTGCCATCACGCTGGACACTCTGGCTTCCTTGTTCACCTGCAGTGGACATCCTTGTCATGAGATCACGCCTGGGGCTGCCGTAAACATTTCAGCTCTCTCTGCATGCTGTTAAACCTGGTCTTCCCCTCTTGTGGCTGTAGGAAGGAAGTGGTCACAGGCTACTTACCTGCCACCATCCATTTGGTCCTCAGCTCCCTCTACACCTACTCTGGGTGTCCTTTGTCCTCAGCCCAGGTGGCGTTCAAGAAGACATTGGAAAGGGAAGCGAAGGGAGAGGAGCCTGACCTTGCTGTCCCTACGTTCAGGCAAAGGAAGGGGGAGTCTGATGGGGCCTACATCCAGCGCATGGAGCAGGAGGCCCAGCACGTGCTGTTTCTCAGTAAGAACCAGGCCTCTCGGCAGCCAGAGGTGCAGGCAGCTCCTGGGAAGAAGTCTGAGCGGAAGAAAGCGTGAGTTGAGCCTGGAGGCCCCGGTGATGCGGGCTGTGGGTTTGGCTGATTGTATTTTCTGGCGATGGTGTTTTCTAGTCAGCCTTGTCCATCCCCTCCAGGGACTCAGGAGAGTCATGAGAAGTTAGTATCTTCTCTACACAGGAACCCGGAGGCTGGTACTCCTCAAACACCTTGTTTTGTTCCTCTGGGAACACTGGAGGGTCTAAGTGTTAGACAGGAAGGGGTGGTTGTTTGCCTTGGGCCCACTGCTGTAGGACAGTGGAAGAAGAGAACAAAGTATGCCCAAAGGAATCACCCTTGTGGAATGGCCCGTGTGAGGCTGACGTGTAGCCTGCTGCCTGCACTGTGGTGAGGTTGTCTTTAGTCTTCCTCTTGGTCTGAAAGAGATTTGGGTTTGTGTTGTTTGTGCAAGTTCTGTACCTTCCTGACCTGATGTCCTTGAGGACACCAAAGAGGAGATAGTGTCGCTGTAATGACGTTCACACATGCTTCTGTGTCGTCCATAAGGGTAGTGTCCAGCCAGTGGAGGCCCAGCACAAGCCTGGCTTCCTGCTGTGTCCTCAGCACCTCCTGCTCAGGCCACCCCCGGCTTGTGCGCAGGTAGACAGGTAGCCTTATCAAAACAAAACACATGATGTATCACAACTTTCAGGAAGAATCGACCTGGGCTTTCACTGACTTGGAAAAGAAATTTCAGCCATGCATGGTCGTTCATGCCTATAATTCCAAGATCTAGGAGGCCAAGATTTAAAGCCTGCTGAGTTGAGACAAGACAGGGTTTCAAACAAAAAGATGACCAAGAATAGCTACATTGTTTCTCTTCACTAGCACAAGAAGCATGTATCTTTTTCTCTCTCACAGATGTGATGAGGTTGCTTTATACTTTTCATACTGTGGTCCCAGCACTGTCCACACTCTCCCAAGGAGGTGGTGTGCAAAGTGCGAGCCCTCTGACCCAGTCTCACAGCTGACACGTGGGGTGGAGCGTGTTACCCCGCAGAGAGCCCCTGGGTCTTGGCAGTGCGGCATGCTCACTGTACGGTACCCAGCCATATCCTTGCCATCGTTTCAACAGTCCAAAATGTCGGCTTTTTGTCTCCTGGGGCTGAGAACTACAGGCTGGGCCCGTTGGGGAACCTTTTGGATACAGAGCATGGGTTTGTCGCCCCACTCTTGATTCTGCATCCCTGGGGCGGGCTGAACCCTGCTGACCGATGGAACAAGAGTTTAGGACTCTGGAAAGTGTGTGCTTGTTTCCCTAGGTTCCAGAAGCGGCGACTTGAAAAGGCCCAGAAGAAAAGGGAGGCCAGAGCAGTGGAGAGATTGGAGCAGGAGTTGCTAAAAGGTAGCCTTTCCCATACCAGGCACAGGCGCTGTCGTCTCCACAGGGCTGGGCCTGTTCTTCCCACTAGACCTCTTTGGTCACCCCTGTGGACTCTCCCACTGGATGATTGACTTCTGATGCCCTCAAGAAGAGGGTTGGTGGTGAGTCAGAAATGGCATGGGCTTTTGTTCACTGTTTTGCAGATACTGTCAAGTTTGGAGAAGTTGTGCTACAGCCCCCAGAGCTGACGGTCCAACCTAGAAGGAGCACAAACAGAGACAGGGTATGTGGCAAGGACTTCCTCAGCACTGCTGGGGACTGCCCTGGTCCAGGCCCTTCTTAAGGGCTGTTAGCTGCTGGACCATGCTGCACCAGCTAAAACCCTTTGCTGTAGTCTTTGCTAGCTGAGCTTATGCTACAGCCTTCTCTCCTATTCCTCAGCCTGGCAAGAAATCGCTAATGCTGAAGATGCTTTTGGGCCCTGGTGGTGTGTCCTCGACTCCAGCCACTTCACTGGCCCGCCAGCGGATCCTTGGGGAGGAGCGGGAGCGGGCTGTGCAGGCTTACAGAGCCCTGAAGAAGCTGCAGCGGCAGGAAGTGACACCTGGACAGCCCCCCTGCAGCTCTTCCCAGAGGACACTCCAGGCTTGTCTGTGATGCAGAGACCCCGCCGTCCAAGGCCCTTAGAAACTGGCCTGGGGGGGCTAGACTTGGATGAGGGAGAGACAGCAGATGCTTGGTTTGGATAGGGACCTGAGTGTAAGCTTTCAGTACGCAGGCCAGGGTGACTTTCTCTTCCTCTAAGGTTTGTGCCTTTAAGAGTGACCAGTGAGTCTCATACAGGGCAAATCTCCAGCACTTGCCTGAGACATCTGGGAGGGCTGGTGTTTTTCCTGAGCCTGGCTTCGTTCTGAAACAAGTCTCAGCTGGTACTAGCCAGGACCACCTCAAAAAGACTCAATCCTTAATCCAGCTGATCACTGAAGCTGCTGGTGTAAGTCAGCCTGTTGTCTTAAGAGGCTTCCGTGGGCTCAGTGCAACCATTGCAAGGCAGGGACAGGGCAAAGCAGGCTAGGCCTGGCAGTCAGCACGTTATTTGCCTGCAGGGGTCTGGCCAGAACCTCTGCCCAGGTTTGGTTTGGATAGAGATGGGTTGTTAGTGCTGCCTGAGTACCCTGAAGGACGAACATGAAAACCCAGTTCCCATGGAAGGAAGAATGCAGAGGCAGAAGAATCCAGAGTTCAAAGCCACTCTGTGACTTACAGCAAGTGTGAGCCAACTGGAACTACATGAGATAGTGTCTCAAAAACCTTATCTAAACATCAAGAGCTAAGCTTGGACCCTGCTGGGGAAGCCCACAGTCCTCTGGTGGATCTGTGGAGCTTTGTCTAGCAAAGCTGGTCCTGGAGCCCAAGGGGAGTCCTTCCAAATGTGCATTTTCCAGAGTGAGGGTTATTAACGTTTTGCTCTTTGAAGTCTGGGCCATTGTTCTCTGACACACTCATTCACAGCCCCGGTCAGTGCACATCAGTGTGACTAGGCATGAGTGCTTACACAGACACCCAACAGTAGTAAGGCTCAGAGATGAGCAAGTTGGCTGCATTGGCCACTTGATTTCCCACAATACATTAGGAGGGGCCAGGGCCCAGAGCCACTGCTATCAGGTGCAGGCGTTTGAGTTCTTTCCAGAAGCAATGTAACCATCCAGCTAACGCAGGGTGGCCAGCTCCGTAGCCAACTGTGAGCTGCATTAAAGAACTCTAACTGCCCTAAGGAGCCCAGGCCTTATGTACTAGAGTATGTCTTATTTTCTCTATTGTTACACACCCATGCTTTCAGATCATCTTCTGAGTGCTTCTCTTTTTCAGAATACCTTTATTAATCCCTGTGGGACTGTAATGGTCCAGGATTAATGGGGGAAGGAGAGTTTCAACCACAAATACTTCATATGAGGATGGCAGGCGTTGGCTCAGTCCCCTCTCCCAGCAGGCTGCCCACCCTCAACCCTGGTGAACATTTACGGCCCAGTTGTACCAAGCTTCCCTCCTTGTTTGACCGTACAAGGTTTCCCCGCTTGGACCTCCTATCCCTGAGCATGCAGATGGAGTTCTTTCAACAACCCTCTTCTGGCTAAGCTCCTTCCCTCCAGCCCAGTCCGGTGCCCAAGCCGAAGGGGAAGAAGAGAGCATGGCGCAGCCCCAACTCTGCTTTATTACACATTACCTGCCTGTGCTTGAGCCTCCTCCCACAGACCTTAGGCTTAACTATAACATCCAGTATCGTTTCCTCACTCTTCTTACTCTGGCTCCTCGCCCACTCCAGGCTCAGGTCTGGTCTTTGCTGCCATCTTGGACTCCAGACCATGAAAGCAGTCTTTAAATATTGACAGGTAGGACGGGCATCAAACTGAGAGGCACTGACATACACACAGAAAGTAGCTCTTGGTGTGAAGAGCAAAATATCTATGGGTTCTGCAGTTGCCTGCACTGTCCTGGTTGAAATCAGGCACCCACATCTTACAGGTTTTTCTCAGCAGATTTGAGCTCATATTGGTCAAACTGTCAGGTGTTCCCTAAGTCCCAGCAGAATGTTCCCACCTCCTGTGTGCTGCCTGAGCCTCCTCTTGCCTGTGGGAATTCATCCCCCCACCTCTTTGAGCACTCAAGTTTACTGAGCAAATGAACCAGTAAAAAAACTCGTTTCCATTGAGGGCACCTCCCCCATCCTGATATTTTTGTGTTTTGAGACTGTCTCACTGTTGTGTAGACCACAACTCACAGATCATCCTGCCTCTGCCTCCCAAGTGCTGGGATTAAAGGAGTGCTACACCATACCTGCCCCTGCCACTCCCACCGTTTTGGGAGAAGCTGAACTCCTTAGCTCAAAATGATCCTTCCACATGGTCTCTTGAGTAGCTCAAGCCACAGGTATGTACAACAGCCTACCTGGTCTTTCTCATCTGAGACACAGTTCTTACTCATTGTCTTCCTTAACTTTGTATTTTTCTGGGAACATGGTCAGGATAACAGGAACTCAGATAGGCAGAGCTTGTACTACAAAAAGGATGTGGGGTCAGTGTAGCTGTGTAGTGTCAAGTCCTCAGACAGGTCCCAGTCCTTGTGTGAGTTTCAGCAGTGGTCCTCTAGATGGCAGACAGCATCAGCCACCTGCAGCCTGTCCCCTAGGTCTTGTCCACCATCACTGCAGAGATCCCTATCACTTGGGGACACATAGGGTGGTCTGCCATGTCAAAACAGACCTTCAGAGGCTACCAAGCCATTCCCCGTCTTCTAGGCGCGGGTGGGTCAGCCATACTTCTCCATCTTGCAGTCAGCTGCTGCATCTGTGTTGATCCTGGAGCCAGAGCAATACTGTTGCCAATCCAGTGCCTTCCCTGGCGCTTATTTCTACTGTGGTGATGTTCTGCTTGGCACAAGCGATGATGTCTGGGAGCCTCATTAACGACTTTATTTCCTCCACGGTCATGTAACAGGGTAGGTCACTGTAAAGAAGCATTTATCAAAGGGGTGCCTTCCACAAGTGTGTCCTCCCCCAGCTGCCCCTTCCCCCCCGCACCCCCATGGACCCCATGCTCTTGCTGCACTCCTTGGGATGCCCTGCCCGCCATCATTCCCCAGCCCCTAGACCCATACATTTTATTGAAGAGTATCAGGACCGAGGCTTCTGCAAGTTCTTGTGCAGAAAGGAGACCCAAGAGCTGCATGCAGGATGCAGAGAGCTGGGTGGGGTTGGAGGCATCCATCACAAACTAGGAGAAAGGAAAATACTACAAAAGGAAGGTAGTCCTGGCCAGTGCTTCATGTGGGCACTACACAAGGACTCCGGAAGAGCACCTTTTAAAACGAGAATTTCTTTTTATGATGCTGGAGATTGCCCCCCAGAGCTTCACATGAAGACAGGCACGCACTCTGCTGGGCTGCACGTCCAGCCCCAGAAGGGCTTTTAAGCAATAGGCTTTGGAAATACGCAGCAAAGGGGCGTTAGTTATAGAAAGACGACCCGATGTCATGGGTGCCTTTTTACATGGAGTCTACTTCTGTGACTATCAGTTCTCCATCCCAGAATTCGGAGCTTCTAGGGACAGGACCGACCAGGGGATGTAGAAATGTTGGGCATATTCAGGTACCTAGGCGAGAAACAAGCAGTGCCTTCAGCAAGCCCTCCTGGTGCCCGAGCCCTACTCAGGGGTGCAAACCAATGCCTGAGGGCAAGCATTGGTGCCTAGGTCCCCTTTCCTTGAACAGTCACCAAAGACCGCCAAACCCCTCCCATACAAAGCAGGCTCTCGTACTTGCTTTGTATGGGAGGACAGGGAGACACACTGACCACAGAAGAAGCTTGAAGTGTTGACCCACCAGAAGCGAATGGCAGTTTCCATAGTAGCTGGGCCAAATGGGGCTCACGCACCCCCCAAGCTCTCGGATGGTGATCTTCCTGTGGGCCACGATGTCAGTGAGGTTGGTACCCACCTGTGGGAAAAAACACAGTGCGCAGACCGGTGCGAGCGGTGTAAAGCCCTGAAAGGCAGTTCCGCGGTGGGGAGCTTCGGGCCGCCACCGAGAAAAGCAGCTCTGGGACTCCAGTCCGACGTCAACCACAGACGTGGGCCCTGAGGGTGACAGCGAAATGAGTCTCTTGAAAAATGTGCCGAGAGAGGCGGGCTTCGGGTTCCCTGCAGACCCAGCTGTCCAGTGGCGGGAGATCCTCTGCCGAAGACAGCACCCAACCCCCTGACCACTGGCACCACGGTTAACACTAGGAGAGGCCTGAGGCACTCGGCAAACCGCAAAGGTGACCCCGGGAGAGGCGGACACCTACCGTGGGGCGCGTCGGCGGGGCCTCTCCCAGGTCGCCCTTGCCATCTCTCGAGCTCAGCTGTACGGGCTGTCAAGGGTCTGAGTGAGGCAAAGGGCGGCGTGCCCTCCCTCCAGCCTCCCTCCCGCCTGGGCTCCCTCCCGCCAACACGGCGCGGAAGGATATTCTGCAGGCGCTTCACCAGCAGGGTCTTCCCGACCCCCGCAGCCCCCAGCAGGAGACACATCCCCGGCCTGTCCACGCACTTGTACGTCAGAGCCCGCCTCCGCCCAACTTTCATTGGATAGATCTTTTTTCCTAACTGTTCATTGGTTAGCCGCTCGGACCAATGGACGCTCAGAGTCAGCGGGCAAGCGCAAGCCCTCCCCTCGGAGGAGGTCACGGGGCGGGGCGGAGGCACTGCGCGTGCGCGAGCAGAAAACAGCAAGTCGGAAGCGGAAGTTGGGGGGCGCGTCAGCTCCGAAAGAGGGAGCGCCTGCGGTGTCGGTCCGGAGTGGGGTCGCCATGGGGCGAGGCAGCGGCACCTTCGAGCGTCTCCTAGGTAACGCGTCCGCCCGCCAGCTCGGCGTCAGCCCTCTCGCGCACCCGCCTCCGTAGGTCTCAGGGGGGCGGGCGGGCCCACCCGACCGGCCGCCGGCCTCCCGGGAGCACTGCACGATTCCCAGGCCTCGGGTGTGGCCGCCCGTACTGGGCACCGCGTCCCGGGCTTCCAGTGAGGAATGCTCTTTGGGAGTCCGCAATGGACCTCTCTTCCTCCGGGTCCGACGGACCTGAACCGATTGGGCCAAAGTCCTGAGTCATGAAGTCTGTGACTCAGATCTTAGCTTCATGCCGGTCCCCTGACCCTAAAACCTGCTGGAAGGGTGAAACCGACACTGCCTTCCTTAAACGTTTTAAGCTTCTTGAGGAATGCTTCCTCGGACCCCGCCAGCCCCACCCTGATTATCCCTTGGGCTCTGGAAGTGCCCCAGGATTTTGGAAGACATTTTTTCTAATTGTGGAAGGTGCTTTGGATCCTATCTGAGCCTCCTGGAGAGTGTAAACTTTAGGAGGGAAAATGGGTTCGACGTTCATGCTCCATTCCCTCAATAAAAATGTTCGGTGTCCAGGAACAAGTGCCAGGGTGCCACCATGGTCTGCTCATCTTTCTGAACTAAAGTTTTCAAAGGGGATCTTAGATGAAACATTTTCCTTACCCTCATTCCTGGTAAGAATTCTTCAGGTATGAATCCAGTAACTTGTTGAATCGCTAGCGAAGGTGCTGTATATTGGGATAGCTCATTGTTATAAAACAGAAGTGTTAAGGATGTGAAGAGGTAAGAGGTGTTGGCTAGAGAGTCCTTGGAGGAGTGGAGAAGTCGTGGTCCGTCATCTCCGCAGAGCCTGTCCAGCTACGAGCTGAGAGACAGGGGAGAGCGTGGCGTTTCACAGTGCCTAGCAAGCTCCGACTTGGGGCATTCACCACCCTCTGTCTTTAAAGGGGATGCGGGTAGTGCCCATCTTCTGGGGTTCTGTGGGAACTGAGTGAATTCAGAGCTTGAAATGACAGCTGGTACGGGACAAGTGCAGCAGTCATTATTCTCTGTAATTTCAAATTTGCTTCTTGCATGGGAGGATGCCATTTCTGTGGTTGTCAGTGTACCTCAAGAGGGTTTTCTGATTGTTTCAATTGTTTAAAAAGAGGGAAATTGCTGGCCTGGGAGCCACCTCAGAAACACAGCACAGTGGGCTCCTTGAATGGCATCTCTTTCCCTCAGACAAAGCCACCAGCCAGCTGCTATTGGAGACAGACTGGGAGTCCATTCTACAGATCTGCGACCTGATCCGTCAGGGAGACACGCAGTAAGTGAGGAGGGCCAGTGCTGACGTCTTTTGGTGCCCAACCCCTTCTTCTGAGCCCTTTATGTAGGCAGCTGCCTGGCCCACATCCTGGGGGTTTTGGTATCTTGAGACACTGAAGGCTGTGCAGTTTGGATATACTTAAGTCTTGTTAATATTTTCTAGGAGGTCTGAAGGACCACAGTGGTGGGTGGAAGGCTGGGCAAATATTTCAGTTGATAGAGTATTTTCTTAGCATGTGTTAAACCTTGGGTTTCATCCCCAGCACCATATAGGCCAGGTATGGTGGCCACCCAGGACTTGGGAAGTGAGGACGAGAGACTAGGAAGTCCAAAGTCTTCCTTAACTACGCATTGAGTTTGTCAAAATAAATAAAGGTGGTGGAGAGCATTCCTCACCTTGCTGAGATGTTTCTTTTCCTTTTCTCTTTCTGCTGTTATTAATCTTTGTTTTTCCTTTCAGAGCAAAATATGCTGTGAATTCCATCAAGAAGAAGGTCAATGATAAGAACCCACATGTGGCTTTGTATGCTCTGGAGGTAACTAGAGTCCTGTTGCAGTTTTGTTTTGGTCTTCAGACTCAAAAATTCTTAGCTTTCTACTGTGAGGCAGTCATGCCTGATTCCCTGGGCACATACCACAACCAGTGGACTCCCTGTAGCACTAAGGACAGCTGGGAGCATTTCCACCAAGCTTGGTCACTTACGAGAACAGGGAGGCAACATTCTAGTTGTAGTCCAAACATACACCCCTGAGGGATGGGATAGCAGTGACCTTGACCACAAGTGATATTGTGGCCTGTCTTTGAGTTGCTGCCTGGGGTTTCTGGCAAGTTGGATGGGTTCAAAAGCCTGTTAGAGGCCTGTCTTCCAGCAGGAGGCTCCCTGCCCAAAACACAAGGTAGGCCTTTCTCTTCCTTGGGGTTTTCAGGTGATGGAGTCTGTGGTAAAGAACTGCGGCCAGACAGTTCACGATGAAGTGGCCAACAAACAGACCATGGAGGAACTGAAGGAACTGCTGAAGGTTGGTGTTCTGGGAGTCACGAGGGAAGGTGGATTCAGGTAGAGAATCGCCACCTGGAGCAAGAGCAGCGGTGTTTGTGTTAGAGGAGGTGAGGGTAAGAGTTAGTGCTCTGATACTGTGGTTCGTGGTTCTAGCTTAGGTCCTGGGAGAGGCACCTCCAGGCTCATGTGTGAGATGAGAAAGACACTTCATTTCGGGCTGGGGAATGCTTCCCAGAAGCGGAGCATGGAGCTGAGTCTTTAGGGGCAATAGGTTTCTTGCCTGTGGGCAGAGATGGTCATGAAGTATGTGTAACCAGAAGCTTGAAGAAGCTCAGAGCAGCAAGCTCAGGGATGGGAGAGACCTGAGCAGGGAGGGTGTGTCTGTGACAGCGTTGGGAGGGCAGAAGGATAGAGCAGGGAGCCCCCCCAGGGAGTGTGGAATTCACACCCCTCAGCAGAGGAAGAAAGGCTCTGAATCCATCTGAGATTGTTCCTAGGACCACCTAAAGGGTTGTGATGTGGATGGTGATGCTCCCAGGTTGGCAGAGGACACTGTTCACCATTTCATGTGACCAGGTATCGGAGTTTGGCCTCACAGGAAGCCCCACCCTCAACTCATGCTGCCAAGAGCCTGTCTCGGGCACTGAGCTGTTAGCTGGGCCCTTGTCATTTGGCCAGTGTGTTGATGGTCCTAGGTGCAGGAAGGCAAACCATTAGGAACCGTCCCTGCTCTTGTTTTAGCTGTGTGGAGATGCATCGGGCCGGTTTGCCCCTCTAGTGGAGGAAAGGCTTAGAGGGAAACCCAGATCTCGGCATAAGAGCTTATCATACCCACATAAGGTATCATGGTCTTCTTGAGAGAGTGCCAAGCATGAAGGTGGACTGTGGCGCACAGGATCTGAGCCCTGTGGAGAAGTGGAGAAACCTCTGGAAGGGCTATCTCCCTGCCTCTCAGACTGTGGCTAGAGGGAGACCTGGCTCCGAGGTGTCTGTCTCCTCAGACCAAAGGCAGTGCTTTCTAGTCCTGCCTGCCTAGTGCATCCTGTAGCACTAGTTTAGTAATGGTTGTGGACCCCAGACACCTGTGTTACTGACCAGGCTTCCCTGGACAGATGGAAGGAAGCGTGGTTATAGATGAACCAGTGTAGTTTCTGGGAGTCCCCTAATTTCTTTCAGGACTAAAAAATGACCCATCCGGGCAGGGTAGCACATGTCTTTAATCCCAGCACTCAGGGAGGCAGAGGAAGGTGGATCTCTGAGTTCAAGGCCAGCCTGATCTACAGAGTGAGTCCAGGACAGTCAGGGCTACACACAGAAACTGTCTCAGAAAACAAACAGACTAACAAACAAACCTGTGACCTTGAGCAAGTATAGACGCCCAGGAGGGTGACTCCTGAGATTAGATTGGTGCCTAGCCACCCCAGGGACTCTCCCAGGCCTTTGTGCCAGTTGTCTCTGCTCAGGGCAATTGGCCTCACTAGATGTTCTTCGCACTGAGACGTCTGACACTAAGAGTGTCCTGCAGGGGTTGGAGAGATGGCTCAGTGGTTAAGAGCACTGTCTGTTCTTCCAAGGGACCCGGGTTCAATTCCCAGCACCCACATGGCAGCTCACAACTGTCTGTAACCCCAATTCCAAGGAATCTGACACCGTCACACTAATGCACATAGAATAAAATTATTAAAAAAAAAAAAAAGTGTCCTGCAGCCCTTTCCACTTTCTTGTCACCCCACAGAGGCAAGTAGAAGTTAATGTTCGGAACAAGATCCTGTACCTGATCCAGGCCTGGGCACATGCCTTCCGGAATGAGCCCAAGTACAAGGTGGTGCAGGACACATACCAGATCATGAAGGTAGAAGGTGAGTTAGAATGCGCCAGCCCCAGGCTGAGAACACGGTCACCAGGAGCCATACACTTTCAGGCTAGCAGTTAAACTGGGTGGTCTCAGGATACAGGGTAAGGGAGAATGGACTGGTCCTCCCTGAGGGACCGGCAGTGGGAGTAAGGAGGTGGTGCTCCCAAAACCTTGGAGAGCCACGTGGAGCTGAGCCCCAGTTCTGGCACAGCCCTGCTTTCTACTCACCCTCCCTTAGGGAGTCGGCTATTTTCAGATGGTAAACAGTCAAGTCTGTGGGTAAGCACAGGTCACAGTGACATGTTTCCTGGGGGCAGCGTAGGATGAGCCGTCAGGGAAGACCACTCTGGGCAACGCCATGGGTTGCAGGAACTCTGCCCCAAGGAGCAACCCCAGGGCCGTGGCACCTTGTTTACCTTGTCTTACTGTTTATGGGTGCTTTGCCTGTTGTATACATCTGTGGACCTGGCGCCCCTGAAGGTCAGAAGCGGGTGTGGGACTAAAGTTACAGACAGTTGTGAGCTACCGTTTGTGTGCTGGGAATCAAACTAG